CCCCCCCCCCCCCCCCCCTCAAGCACCCGGGCCGAACCTCAGGTCTACGATGACCTCCGAACCGCTGCTTCGGTTTGGAACTGCCCGTGGGGTATTCGGGCCTTTGCAAACCGACGGATGCTCGCGCCGTGTCTCGTGCCACAAGGACTGCGCTGAGTGAAGAAAGGAGCATCAACTGCTTAGACGTCTACAGCAAAAGCAAACCCCATTGGAGGGTCTGTGTAGCGTGTCTGCTGTTCGGGCCTTTGGCATCTCAATGTTAGACGTTTCTGTCCTGAAACCCGATACCCGAAAACCTCTAGAACGTTGAAGCCCTAAACACAAGCCTGCTTAGACACACTGCAACAGCAGCGTCTTCACTGATAAGGCTAGGCACATTACAAGCAACAGAATCCTAAATGCTTCTAGGGAGGCCCCGTACATAAACCCTAAACCCTTAAACCCTAAACTCTAAACCGTCTTCAGCAGACTGTCGGGCCCCCCACGTTGTGGATGTGCATCCTCAGGGCTTGGGGCAAGTGGCAAGGTTTAAGGATTCGGGATTTCTGCCCTAAACCAGGGGGCCTATGCAGCAATAATCAGGTGATTATGAGAACTGCCATGGATTTGAGAGCACCCTGACCAAAGCCAGTGCCCGAAAGCTCAAGGAATTAGGCTATTGATTAATGTCGATCAGAGCTTATTGCTTACAGAAAGCCGATGGTTTAGGCACTGAAAGCTCCGCGGCGTCAAGCAGGTTAGCTGTCTTCGCGGATAAGCTACAGCTCTTGGGGCATCGGACTCGGAGCGGAAAATGTCAGCGTGAGGTCCCCCTCAATCCCCAAAACATCTTGGAACCCTTACATAATCCTGGGCTAGACCCTAGACTCACAACCCGAAAAAGCAAGCTCCAAGCACTGCCATAACCTTCCGGGCAAGAGCTCAAGCACTCTTATCATCAGAGCCCAAGCCCCAGGGCTTGAGAGGCTGATTCTTTGCCGAAGCCTTAGGGACTCTGACAACTGGCGCTCCAGCCCTAAACGAGTCGCTACATGATGGAGCGCAGCGCTGACAGACGGCCTTGCTTCGTAGAACACAAGGTTCAGAGCTCTATGCTAGATTCAAGCACATGCCGAGACCACCAAACGCCCCGAAAACTAACATCTAAGACGCCGGCTTTGGTCGACCCAAGCAGCAGCCTTAATATCCGGTCCGAGGCATGGTTTCTTCTTTTTGGATACTGAGGTGTTGTCGGATTTTCCAGAGGCCAATGGTTTTGCACCAAAGCTGAGGGGCTTTTTCATGAAAACAGCTCATGAGGAACAGGGTGGCAACTATACGAACATTGCCCGGTAGGCAGCGCAGTTGCATCACGTCTCTCTAACATTTCTGCACCACGTCAGCTTGGCTGCTGCCAACACAGCTGGTGAAGATGAGGTTCCCCGTTCAGTTTTGCAAAGATGAATGTTCAGATTTCTTTCTGGCTCCTGCGACGGCATGTAGAGCTTATCACCATCTGCACAGGTCCTCTCCAGTGGTGAAGGCCAAACAGTGCCTAAGGAATCGGAGAGCCCAGCTTCCCGTCCCCACCCGCCTAAGCGGATCAGGTGACCAACCCTAAACCCTAAACCCTAAAGCCTAAAGCCTAAACCCTAAAGCCTAAACCCTAAAGCCTAAAGCCCTAAACCAGGTAACCAGGGCTTAAAAGAAACAAAAACTCCGTAGAACTCCCCCGGTGACCCCGACCTCCTGCAAGCCCAGGCTTTAGTGCTCAGGTGTTATAGTTTATAGGCTCCCTAAACCTCAAACCCTAAACCCTAAACCCTAAAACCTCAACCCTGAAGCCCTAAACCCTAAACCCTATAAACCCTAAAACCTAAAACCTGAAGCCCTAAACACTAAACCCTACAAACCCTAAAACCTAAAACCTGAAGCCCTAAACACTATACCCTATAAACCCTAGAACCTCAACCCTAAAAGCCCCAAAAAACCCGAAATCACCGGCTGCGACAAGGCGGCAGGTGCAGGCGAATGGCCGCTCCAGGCGCACGAAGGGCACCGGAGCTTGACCTGGACCTGAAGTCAGGGCATAGTAGGGGGCTTTGCAGTGGCGGTTTAGGGTATCCTAGTCTGGGGTTTAGGGTTTAGGGCTGAGGGTTTAGGGTATCCTAGTCTGTGGTTTAGGGCTTAGGGTTTTAGGGTAGGGGGCCTTGCAGTGGCGATATGTGGGTAGTTGTCTAAATTGGGGTCCCTTTTTTTCGGGTCGTTTTATAAGGGTGCCGTACTATCTTTGTGAAAAAGGGACCCCAATTTAGAGAACTACCCACCTGAAGTCGGACACACAGGGCTTTTCTAGGGGGTCTTGCAGTGGCGATCTGTGGGTAGTTGTCTAAATCAGGGTCCCTTTTTGGGGTCTTTCCATACGGATGGGGACCTAAAAAGGGACCCTACTTTAGAGAACTACTCATGCGCCATTGGGTTCTTAAGGGGAGTTTAAGAAGGGCTCGAACCCTAAACCCTAGGGCCCTAGAGGGTTTAGGGTCTGGGTTAGAGGTATCGGGCTTAAGGCTGAAAGTCTCGAGGCCTCGGGGTAAAAATTTGGAGCTCGAACCTGCGATTTCCCTTATAAAGGGTCCTTCATGTGAGCGGCACATCTCTGTATACCTTCGCCTACCAGAACCTACTTGTTTGTCGGGTCCCTACAAACTTCCTTTTAGGCTTTATAATAAGAACCTACCGGAAAGTAGGTTTTGGTAGGCTAAGGTATGGGTATGTAACGATAACGTGGAGCCGCCTTGTCAAGAAATGTAAGATCTTTAAAGGATCCTCCACTGCTATGTCGCGGCAACATGCTGTACGACCAGTCAATTGCTTTTTGGAATAAGTGACAACCTCAAGGTTCAGGGGCATCACGATGTTCAAAGAGGTCTAGCTGTCAAGCTGCAAGCCTAGCAAGATTGACACAAAGCAGTGTAAGTTGCAAGCTTAGGTGGCGATTTCCGAAAGTAGGGGACCCCAATATGGTACCCTAAATAGTAGGATCCGTAGTATAAGGACCCTAGAGTAAGGTACCCTATTTTCCGGAAACTCCCAGGTGCCGCAGCATAGAAGTGAAAAGGCGACGACGAGCAGGCTAGAAACCTCGAGCCTACATGCTTGCGCAAAATAGTAAACCCAGACATCTAGACGTACAAACCAAACCAGTCCAGAAAACACACACCCTAAAACCCTAATTCCTTGAAGGCCTAATCTCTAACCACGAATCCTAAAACCTAAATCCCAAAACATCCCGAAACGAAAATCCTAAACCCAGCAACCCAAACTCCACAACCCTAGACCCTAAACTGTGTTCTTGTTAGGGATTTAACCTAAGTTACCATAACAAAGAAACCATATTATTTACTATAGATCCCTGTTATGGTAACTCAAACTTCAACTAAATCCCTTAATCAGAACCCAGTAAACGACCCGGTACTGCAGAATCCCGCTTTGCGACCTGCAAGCATGGCGATGTCCAGTGTGAATGGCCGATGGCCTCCTTCGAAGACCTGCGAGGGTTTAGGCTTTAGGGTTTGGGTTTAGGGCTTCTCACACCGAAATCCACATTTAGGGCTTCCTACAGTTTCCAGGAGGTTAACATCTTCTCTAGGGCTTCATGAGCTCTTTGAAGTTTCCTGGGGACGTTAAGGGGCTGTTGTTGCTACTTTCTTCAAGCCCCTGCATTAGCCACGAGATCATTGTAGAGTTTCTGCGATTTGGGTTTAGGGCTCAGGATCCCCGGTTGAGAGGTTAGAGCTTGGGATTCTTAAGGTTCTCCGGGTCCCTTACATCGTAGCTAGGATCTCAGACACGGCAGACACGTCGTCCAAGTTCGCTGTGTCTCTTAACCGGTATCGGAGCAAGAGCCTATCTTGCACCTCAGCCTGCATGAATCATGTTACACATGCTGCTTAATCGACATGCTTCTATGCGTAGTCGCAATCTGCCGGGAACTGCTCCATCAGCTGAGCTGCACTGTTTCAATTTCTCTGAAGGTTTTCCGTCCCAACTCCGGGGCCCTACTTTGATGGTAGCGACTTCGCCGGCAAGCCCGTACCAGGCACTTGTTGCCCAGCACCAGCTTTCGCTTGAAATGTCTCAATAGGAACCCCTACCTGGCAAAACCCATCTCAGGAATTTATGTGTGGCAAAATGAAACGGAAGGAGTCGTCTCATTCTCTCTTAAGTGTATTGTAAGGGCCTTAATAATTAGAACAGTCTTTTGGGGGGTTCCTTATTAAAATTCCAGTGTAATATACCCCAAAACCCTAGCCTAATTATTAAGGCCCCTATTATTAAGGTGCTAAGGCTTGGGAAGTTACGATCGAAGCCGCACCTGCCGACCGATGGCACCCATCACTCCATTGCTACGTTCGGCTGCGACGAAAAGGTCGTGGCCTGCGTAGGGAGAAGCAGCTCTTCTTTTCGATCCTCATGCATGCATCCATCCTTCCATCCATCTAGCCGTACATATCTACATACTTACATGCATACATACATGCATGCATACATACATACATACATACACTCATCGGACAGCAAACACAAGCACATGACAACAACTGCACGTTCGCATAAGATGCAAACTGTCCGTGCCGCCACAAATGCAACCACCATCCACACGCACATGTGAAACTTAGGACTTAGGAGTTGCCTGAAGCGTTGAAACGGCAACGCTTGAAACAGTGGTGCAGTAATCCTGCTCGACTGTTTAACGCTTCCTAAGCTGGCAGTATCCGATGAGTTTCACCTTTTCGGGGCAAGTACAGGTTAGTTCACACACGTCATGGCTCCGGTAGGAACTTTGTAGATGCTGTCCGGACCCGATCCCATAGATTGAAAGTACCACAGACCCCCAGCGGCCGACCTCCGACGGGGTCAGAGATCAAATACCTTGGCTGTCTCAGGGCTGCATGGGAGGGCTCCGGTTCTGACAGGGATGTGCTTCACCAACCGCCCCCTCTTATTGCCTAGAGAGTCGGGGGTGCGGGTGTCGACATGTCTGCCCGAAATATGTACACGAGTTGAATGCTTCGTGCCGCGAGGCTCGCTGCAGTTTAGAGTGCAGGGTGTAAGCGCCGAAGGACCCGACAAATGTCCCGTAGAAACCCTTCTTCAATGCCAACCCGGTGGAGGACGGTTCAGGGTTTAGGCTTTGGGGCTTAGGACGTAGGGTTTATGGCACGTAAGATATGCCGCTCTGACAGAACCCAGGAATTACACCGCTGGTCCTCCAACCTGGAACCCTTCCCAAGGCTCAGCCCCCAAATGCTGAGACCACAACCCGTTACAACACTGCAGGCCAAGTAGCTTCTCCGGCATGTCCCAGCCAACTAGAACCTGAGAATAAAAGTGGTTGTACATGCTTGTCACAAAGTCGTCGGGTAGATTCTGCTTGATTCTACCCCGTTCGCGAAGAAGGCCCATAAAGGAACACGACAACGAATCGTTAAGGGAAAGTCTTTGGCAACATGGCTCTCAGGGTTCTGGGCTGTCGACTCTGGGACGTGGAGTGAGGCCTATGGGGACTCCAGACCCGAATAGCTACTCTAGGGGCCTTAATTTTAGGGTTTAGGGTTTAGGGTTTAGGGTTTTAATAATCAGAATAGGGTTTTCGGGGGGATATTCTACTATATGTAGTCATATATCAGGAGCTATAAGGAAAGACTATAAGAAACTCTTCCGACCCCGGTATTACATGCAGGCCAAGCAGTTGAGTATCTCAGTGTTCCATAAACCCTACAATCACTAAACCCTGTAAACCCTGTAAGCCCTATCAGCTCCATAAAGGCTGGTAAACGCTAACAGCTCTATCTTTTGCTTAGGCTTGCATCTTGCTTGCTGAGCTTACTTTCGGTAAACAGGAGTAAACACAACTTTGCTCACGAGATCAGACGAGCTAATCTTCAGTGCCCGTGGCTGGAAAAAAAAGAAGCTAACACTCTTACGGCCCGAGAATCCCAAAGCCCCTATGCCAAACTGGTCCCGCAACACCCTCAGCCCTTCATACACCACCTTACTGCCCATTATAGAAAAAAATCGCGCCCCAGGCCCCGACCATACCTCAACCCTAAACCCTAAACCCTAAACCTCAATGCAAAAGCAGCACCCCCCATAACACCTGGAGGCTTCTCTCGCCGAGCTGCCTCAGCCCATTGGATCTGCTGCTTGATGGAGACGCCTGTCCACAGGTTGGCGCTGAAGCTCAGCTTCAGGTAGGGTTTAGGGTTTAGGGCTTAGGGCTTAGGGTTCAGGGTTTAAGGTTTAGGGTTTAGAATTTAGGGTTTAGAGTTTAGAACTTAGGGTTTAGGGTTTAGGGTTTTGGGTTTAGGGTAGGGGCCAACGGGGGCTTCAATTCCTAAAGACTAAGTCCCCAAACGGGTGTTGCGTCTTTAGCATCCAGGGCCTACTGTAGGTAGGGTTTTGCAGTGCCCTCACAGTTTGACTTGCGGGAAAACTCGCATTGCCTAACTTGGCTGACTTCTTTTAGACAACTGACTATAGTTTATATAGAAACCCCCAAAGTTAAAAGCCCTAAGAGCCAACCAGAAGAATGCCAAACTAAGCTGCCTAGGGAACATGGGCTACATCACTTGCCCCTATCTGCAATGATGAGACTGCATAGAGCCTCAAGCGTCTACTGAAGGGTACCTTGTTTGTGTTGTGATAACCATTCGGAGCAAAGGGCTTCCCGCTAAGCCTACATGGCCTTGCGAATAAGCGTTGAAGGAAACAGGCAGAATACACTCTAAACTGATTCAATTTGTTGCTGGGGAAAGTCGATTCCAGGGCTTAGGGCCAAGGCTCAGGGCATAGGATTGGGGACATCATCATCATCATCATCGTCATCATCATCACCACCACCACCAACCCCGCCACCCCGCCACCCCTGCCACCACCGCCACCACCGCCACCACCACCGCCACCACCCCCACCACCACCACCACCACCACCAGCAGCAGCGCCACCACCACCACCACCACCACCACCACCGCCACCACCACCACCAGCAGCGCCACCACCACCACCACCACCACCAGCAGCGCCACAACCATCCCCAGCGTCATCATCATCATCATCGTCGTCATCATCAGCAGCGCATCACCGAATTTTGACTTTTCTGCTTCATCATTGGCTCTGTTTCATCGTCACCGTCCCCACGCTTCGGCCTGGCAGCCGAGACAGGATCGCAAAGGGATCCTCGGCTCAGCAAGCGGATGCCAGTGATCCGGGATAGTATAGGAACCTGATTAAGCAACCCTGGGTCTTTATTGGGGTTCTTGAAGCCTAATAGATTTGGGGTTATAGCGCCAGGGTTTCTTAACCAAGTTCCTACATTATGCTGGAAACATGCATCCGAGACCCTCTGAGTTTGGAGCCTACGGGCAACCTCAGCTCCTTCGTCCTTGCATGCCGAGGATCTGTAGGTCCTGCGAGGTATTGCAGCTGCATAGGAACGCCCATGGCGCCGCCCATGGCCTTCGTAAGAGGTTTGGGGTGATGGGAATTCGTACTGTTTCATACTGATCCTGGCATTTGCAAGGGTCTATTCATCAGGTTCCCCAGTCCAACAACCCCTGTGTGGAAAAGGCCCTGGCGTCAATCGTACAACGCGCAGGCCGGAGTTTTGCCGGCGTTTCGGACTACGTTGAAGCTCTGGATGTTGTCAACGACAGCCTTCCCCATCTTGGCAGCACTGACTGATGGGAGGACAGTCATGATCGTCTCATGGTTTTGAGGCACGGTAGACACACAGATGAATCAAAGGCTCCGTCCCATTACTCCTATAGGTATCCCCAAACTCCTTGTCAGTGGAGTCCGTGTAGTGATCGCCATCTTTGGCGTTCTTGTCGCGGTCATGGAGGACGGGTGAGGCGGGTGAGGTGCGCTCGGGGCGGACGGCAGTGGACAACCGCTCGGCGCCAACCTGTCATGGCCGGGACAAGCACGCTTGGTGCCAGCGCTGAATGGCATGGATGGGATCGATTACCGGAGCATTCGGTAATTCTCTCTGCCACGCTTTCCAGGGAGCAACCAGCTGTGGTCGGCGCTTCAATGCCATGGGCGGCGGAGTCGACGGGGAGCATGGCCCGTGGTTTCTTAGCTAAGGTGAACATGACCTTCCGGGCAACTCAGTATCAGCCTTGTTGGATCGGAGAGTGTTGCACTCAGAGATGCGCTGTAGAGTGTTTCACTTTTCCTGTGAAATCTTGCTAGGTATGCAGCATGCAATGCTTGTACTGACTACTATAGTTATGCGGTCGGATAGAAACACTAAAAACCTAGGCCATCAACCCTACCCCTGAAATCTTACAGCCCTGAACCATGAAACCTGAACCCTTAACTTACTGTTGAATCACACACACACACCAAACCCTAAACCCAAAACACTAAAACCCCCAGACAACAAAAAACAAAGAAAAACAAAAACAACCGTCGAAAGATTGAACTTATCCCAAAAGCACGGCGCAATCCTGCTGCGTCGGTGCCGCGACGGCTTGTGCCACAGCGACCTCGGCGTCGGCTTTGATAAAGGCTTCGTCTATAGTAGAGAGGCCTGAATGATTAGAATAGGGTTTTGGGGCAAAATTATAAGTATAACTATAGCAAGGAACTCAAGAATGGTGTTGGTAATTGTTTCGGCCTCTGTGTCTGTGTTACATGTGTTTCAGGCTTAGGGCTTTGGGTTTTGGGTCTGCGGTTTTGGGCTGCGAGTCAAAGACGACGTTGTTATCTGCGGCGGCATGGCGGCAGTAACCGAGGGACAGCAACTACTGCTGTTGATCACTACTGAATTAAATAATACATAGTAAGGTCCAAGCGGCCTGAACCTGCCTCAAGAAAGCGACCACTTCCGCTTGGCACTCGACCCGATTACGGGGCAGCCACGAAATGTACTAGAAGTGCTAGTCCTAATACAATCAGTAGTACAGTGGTACTGCCGCGAAGAAATGCAGGGACTAATGCTATCGGTGATCACTGAGGGCAGAAGCAATGCACGTAACATGACAAGTGGTGCCATGAACAGTACCAGTTGGAGGAGGAGGAGGAGGAGGAGGAGGGAAGAGGTGACGCGTTGCTCCAGGATGTGAGGTTTTGAAACCCCAACCCTCTTATTATAAGCCGAGGGCCGCAGGAGAACTTCAGGGTCTTGGGGGAAACGATGAGAGAGAAGAACGACAGGCATGCTCTACCACGATGCTCCTTCTCATCGCGCCCCTAGAAAAAAAAAGGGATGTGGCTGCTGTATTCCTCCTCAAAGCTCAAGCCTTTAAGAATTCCTACACGGCCCTAAACCCCAAAACCCAAAACCCCTAAAACCCTAAACCCCCAAACCCCTAAACCCCTAAACCCTGAACCCCTAAACCCTAAAACCCTAAATCCTGAACCCCTAAACCACTAAACCCCTCAACCCCTAAAGCCCTAAAGCCTTAAAGCCCTAAAGCCCTGAAACCCTAAAACCCTAAATCCTGAATGAACCCCTAAAAACCCCTAAAAGCCCTAAACCTTAAACCCTAAACCCCTAAAACCTAAAACCCTAAACCCTAAAAAGGCTGACTTCTGCACGCCCCACGCGAGGACGTGACTGGCGCCCCCGCGGCAGCCAGGGGCTGGTAGGCGACATTGAATTGGCTACGGGTGGGCAGCCTGCGGCAAGGTTTACAAGGGCAAACTCTGCAGTTTTGGGGTATCGGGTTAGAGGTATGGGTTTAGGGTTTGGGGTTTAGGGTTTTAGCGTTTAGTTTAGGGTTTAGGGTTTTAGGTTTTAGCGTTTTAGGGTTTAGTTTAGAGTTTTTGGGTTTTAGCGGTTTAGGGGTTTGGGGTTTAGGGTTTAGGGGTTTAGGGTTTAGGGCTGTGGTTGCCGTATGGGGTTAGAGTACCTTAGCCCAAAACAGGCTAACCTTTTGAATCATAACAGGTTTATATAAGCCCCAAAAGGTTAAAGGTTGCCTACTCAGCCCCTAAGGGTTAGAGGTATGGGGCAGGGGTTACAAGGAACAACTTTCAGGTTTTAGGGGGAATCGGTGGGGTATCAGGCTTCAGTCCAGTAGTGGGGGTATAAGTTGTGCAAATGGCATGGGGTTCCATTTAAAGGCTTCAGCGTTGATCGTGGCGTTGGTATTTGGGCTCTCGTGTGAGCCTTTCTACCTTTGAACCTACTCCCCGTAGTTCCGCACCCACACCGCCAAGTTCTGGAATGAAGCCTCATACGCGGGCTGCACAAACCAACATAGGTCTTGATGGAAATACAAGACTTTCTAGACCAGAGCCGAAAGCTGTGCTCAGTTTTTACATGTTGGTACGGCTTGGGCCGTGAAATTATGCACACTCGCCCTCAATTCCGAGCTCCCCACCCCAAACCCTTCGGTTGCTTCATGGCCCTCAAGACCGAAAGCTCCACCGAGTCGATTTCACCGCAGCGGGTGTGAGCAACAGGTACAGGTACAATAGTGTGGAGGACAGCACACGGCAGCGCTCAAGATGCAGTTAGTCATCATAGAATAAAAACGCCAACAGCAAGAACGGAGACGAAGAAGGAAGTTTATAGTGACCATGAGCATGGTGATGGCACTACCAGAGACTGCAACCGCAGCTGCAACGACGACGACCGAGATAACGCCGAAAGGTGTCTCAGCAAGCTACAATAAGAGGCTTCACCACCATGAGAACAGACTAACAACACCGACAGCAATAATGACGACCGTGATCTTGGTACATATATCTTAGTAAGCATGGTCATAACATGCCATAAGCATGTTGGCAAGCATATCGTACAGAAGTTTCTTAGTTTAGAGTTCCTGAGCCAGCGCACCCGCGGGCACTGCCACCCGCAGCGTTTGCCCATCCGGGCTCCGAACCTCGAGCATGGCATCTAGAACGTCGGGGGAAAGGGCAAGTACACATCATGGCGCTCTCAAACCTCAAAACACTGACACACAGCCGCGCACGGCCGGAAGAACCTCTCCCAATGGCCCAACTCTGCCCCTACTGAAGTCTTGCCGCTCGGGATTTATCGAATGCTTTCAATTCAGCGATCACAACCCTGAACCCAGAACATCAACATCCAAAGCCCTAAACTTTCACAGCCCACACCGCAGACCTCCCGTTCTGTAGCTCCAAATCTCAAATCCTAAGCCCCTCATCACCCCATCATCCTTTACCCCAAGCCCTGTTGACCGCTCACCCCGAAGCCCTAAACCCTAAAGGCCCTAAACCCTACTAGCCCTACTAACCCTTTCAGCCCCAAACTCTTCAATCTGAAGCCATGAGTTCGCCAAGCCAGGGCCAAGGCATCCAGCATCTGACCTGGGGTTGCCTGGGCCAAAGACTTCGAGGGCCTTGAGGGGGTACCTAGGCGTTCGGAATTTTGGAGTTTTTCGGGCTTTTATGCTTCAGGGTTGATACTAAACCCGAAACCCCAAGCCCTAAATCCCAAAACCCTAAATGCTGCCGATCACATCCCCAAGCCTTGACCTTGTTCAGACGGTTTTGGGTTTTTGGGCTTTGGGTTTAGGGATTGAACCAAAGTAGCCCTAAACCCGACAGTCCCGAGCTTGCCGCCGAAGTGGCGCCCTGTGGAACGATTACCGCAAACTGGGCCGCAGAGCCCGGAACGACCTCCGGCCGATCCAGCGAGGGACGATGAGGATTTCCGGCTTAGATGGGGCTCTGGAAGGATTCTGACCGGGCTTTGGGGTTTAAGGCTTATGCTGCTGCTAGCCTTCCGCGTAGGGATGAAGTTTTCAAGGTTTGCAGGCTGTAGGATTCCAGGGCTTGGGGTGAGGGATGAGGAGTTACGGGTGTGGGGCTTACGGAGTCTGTTCGGGAACACTCTCGGTGCCTAGTTTGCTGAAGGTGCAGGAGGCTAGCGTATGCTGAAACTGTGCAGGCTACCACCGCTGCTGCATCAATGCAATAAAGCAGTTAATCGTCGTCAAGCCTGGTTCAAGTTCATGTTTGGGATAGAGTTTCAACACATGTGTACACTGTACACTACTCACATTATAGAAGAAGCCACGGGTACTAACTCAGGAGCGTGTTACAATAAAGCACTAGGAGTTGTACTCCAAATTCTTGCGAGCTTGCAACTTTAAGTTTAGGATTTAGGGATGTTTCGGGATGACTGTGGGTTGCTTGGGGATTCGGGTTTAGGATCGCCACAACCAGACTTGGTGCCCTGCCGCAGCATTCGCCAGCGGAACCTTCCGCAAGTGCCGGCTCTGGCTAATTTCACAGGACCGACTCATACTAATTTACAAAACTACTGCATATGTAGTCATATAGAATGAGATATAACAAAACACAATGGTATTTACGAAAAGTAATATCTAATACCGCGCACACGAAACCTAAGCCCAATACTTCGCGAGCTTTAGGGCGTCTAGGGGTGTAGGATGTACTTGAGCATCAGGGTTGTTACACTTCCCAATAAAATCCACGAGCCGATGACGTGATGCGTAGGT